GGGGTCACAGGGATAGGGTGGGGGTGGGTGGGAGGGAAGCTCCTTGGAGGGTCGGTGCAGACTCGATGGGCTGAATGGCCTCTATCTGCACTGTGGGAGATTGTATAATACTGTGCAATGACAATTTCTATGATACTGAAAGGGACAGTTAACAGAACTGGTAGGAGTCAGAACTGACTGGCTTCAGAGAGAGAAAAAGAATGTCAGCAAGATTTTCTAAATTACAACTAAAGTTGTGTCCCCAATTCTGGGGCCGTATTTTAGAAAGGATTGGGAGGTTTTAGGGAGATGGCAGAAAAAATTTACAACAATGGTTACAGGGATGAGGGAGTTCTGATATGTGGATGGATTGAGAAGCTTTCGGAAGCTTCAAAGAAAATTTGATTACGGTGTCCTAAACAAGTCACATTCTGATTGGAGTAGAACGGGGGAAATCGTTCCCATTTGCAGAAGGATTGAGTCATAGGGTCTGTGAGACTCTTCGGTCTAACCAGTCCATGCTGAACATAATCCCAAACTAAACTAATCCCACCTGCCTGCTCATGGCCCATTTCCCTCCAGACCTTTACTATTCGTGTACTTACCCAAGTATCTTTTAAATGATGTAATTGTGCCCACATCCACCAGCTCTTCAGGAAGTTCATTGCATACTCAAACCACCCTGCATAAAATCTTTGCCCCCCACCCCCCCGTGTCCTTTTGTTTTTTAAAAAAATCGCTCTTCACTCACCTTGGGAACTGGAGGATGTCACTTGAAGTTAAAACAACAAAAGAACCAAATGGTGACATGAGGAAAAAACTATTTAACTTAACAAGCAGTTCTTATCTGGAATGCTCTGCCTCAGAAGGCAGCAGAGGCCAATTCAATTATAGCACTCAGTAAGAAACACAAAGAGAATGTTAGCATCATGATTGGAAGAGAAAGGGGAGTGGGATTAGCTGAGCTGCTCTTGCAGAAAGCTAACATGGGCTCAATGGGCCAAATGGTGGTCTTCAATGTTGTAACCATTCTATGATTCATTTAATGATTTTACAAAAACATTAGATTCATCAAAACAAGGAAAATCATAAACTCACTCCACATCTATTAAAATGTGAGATTTAAATGACAAATTTGCTAATGCATTTTTGAATTGTTGTGAAAACACAACAGCATACAGTGAAGGGAAAATTACAGTTGGTTACAAATGAATAAAATTGAAAAACTGAGAAATACTATGCATTTAACTTAACCCTAACGTAAACCATAGGGGCACGCACCATTTATTAAAAGTTGGTTTAACCATTTTCCCCAGCAAAAATTAAAATTCTCCATCCAGAACTCAGAAGTGAATTCATTTTTTAAGAGGGTTTTTTTTGCCTTTCCTAGGACATGAAAATTTTCTTGAGTTGGGTACAAAGCACATTTGTGATGTGAGAATTACCATCGTCTTACCAGACCACATGGCTGCTCTCTCATCAGAAAGTCAACTGGTGGTGGTTCAACCGGAGTGCCACTGTGCCTCAGGCGAGGGGAGAGGTTGGGAAGGACAGTCCTTCATGGTAACCTCAGCTAGTGATGGGGACTGAACCCATACTGTTGGCATTATGCTGCTTCGTAAAACCAACCATCCAGCCAACTGAGCTAAACCGACCAGATATAGATGGGCTATGAGTGACTTGTCTGTTCTCGAGTGTAGACCAAATAGCCACTTGTAATAAGTTTCAATGATAGACGAAACTATTCCCCATAATCTAACTTCCCTCACCACTTAGTTACTTGAATCAATGCAAAATCTTCCCTGTTGTGAAGCCAACGTTCATAAGGTTGAGTGTTCAAGTCCCAGAGGAATTCACGATCAATGTTAGCAGTGACACACAGTACCAAAGGGGAGCTGCACTGTCAGAGGTGTCATTTTCTGATGAGACATTAAACCAAAGTTGTCTCACCTCTTGGGATAATTTACCTCCATGAGAAAGGGAACTCTCTTTAGCATCCTATCATTTAAATCACTAGAACTGATTAGCACATTGTTTGCGTGAGCTTGCTCTGCACAAGTTAGCAACCACATTTCCTCCATTTCAACAATGACTTCTTTAAACAAAAGCTCCATTAGCTGTCCAGCAACATAGAATGCCCCAAGATTGCAAAAGATTTATATGCAAGTTCTTCCTTCACTAAATTCTTCCCCTCTTCACAAAATCCTGCAACCTGTGAACACTCATCTGTAATCTTTCTTCTCTCTCCAATCAACCTTCTCAGAAATGTTATTGCACACGTCTGGAACAGGTTGAACCCAGGCCTGAGTTTAGAAGTAGGGATACTACCATCGTAACAGAAGAACACTCTTGACATCTGTCAACCACACCAGGTTTAAGGAGTTTCAGGCGTCTTGTTGAAACCAAAATGATATCATGTAGCAAGGTGACAAACAATGCAATCTCCAATTATTTTCCCTAATTAGCCATTTAAGCTCCTTCAATATTCAATCCAAAGTACAGTTTGAGGAGAAACAAGCTTTAATTTTAAGACTGCGAGGTTACTTGCTGTATTATGGAAATACTTAGATGGGTACATTTTTGTATTTCATTGTTCTAGAACTCCTTAGAATCATAGAATCGTTTCAGTGTGGAAACAGGCCCTTTGGCCCAACAAGTCCACATCAACCCTCAGGACATCACACCCAGACCCAGCCCCCTATAAGCCTACTAATCTACACATCCCTGAACCACTACGGGTAATTTAGCATGGCCAATCCACCTACTCCGCACATCTTTGGACTGTAGGAGGAAACCGGAGCACCCGGAGGAAACCCACACAGGCAGGAGGAGAATGTGCAAACTCCACGCAGACAGTTGCCCAAGGGTGGAATCGAACCCGGGTCCCTGGCGCTGTGAGGCAGCAGTGCTAACCACTGAGCCACCGTGCCACTCACTTTCCCTACTTTATCCATGCACAAGAATTAGTTTTATTCTCAAATTAATTTACAGGCCAGAATCAAATGATGTCCTTCTGCATTGCGGAAGATAAATTGAGCAAATTAAATGCCAAAAAAAAGGGGGTGCTACTGTTGTGTAAATGGCCACATGCAAACTCTAATATCATTTGAATTTTTCCAAATCACATGAACAAGATCTGTCTCCATCATGTCAGCCTTTTGTATGGCACATCACGTCTGCATGCAACTCCCACAATGTAAGGAGCTCAGGCCTTTTAAAGCAGCAACTGATACTCTGAACTAGGCATATACAGCAGAGCTGTGTTCATTAACATTGTTTATCCATATTCTTGGGATACTTCATGGGGACATGAAAAGAATCTCTCATTTTGTTGCTAACTCGCAAGTAGTTAACAATTTGGAACAAAAGATTTTACAGTTCACATGAATGGCTTAGAGGCATGTAAGCCAGACTTCATTTGCTCCAGCAAATGATAAACTGGGCATACCCTACCTTATTCGGACACTGGAGCTCTGCATTAGAAATGCGACAACCTAGCATATTGAACATGATATAACATCTCAAGACATATCATAAGAGTGCCATCAAACACCAGGCAGCATCCCAGTGTTTATGAAATTGCTGATCATAAGAGCAGATCTTCCTTTCAGAAGAAGTCTTAAGCCAAAACCCCCTCAGATTAATATAAAAGCATGTCATGGCACTAGGGGCTGTTTTCTGGTCAGTATTTAATTCCCAACCAACATTTGCAGCACAGATTATTTGATTATTATCTAGTTGTGGTTGGTGGGAATTTGCAGCACATTTGTACATTATAACAGAGGTACACTCCAGAATTGGCTGCAAGTGCTTCGGGACATCCTGAGGTCATGAAATATACTATTAACAATCACATTATAGATGTCATATCAGTGCGTTATGGTTTGGACTTTCAAGCACCATAAGTAATTTTGAATAGTGTTGCACTTGCTAACGACTTTGCAGTTTATTTCTTGCAAAAAGAATTAAGAAACTAACACTTTGCATGATGTCCTTTGTGTTCAGAATCTCACAGTTAACCTGCATGAGGGTCAGGGACCCCATACTCCTCATCCCAACCGATTAGAGTCAGCTGATGTCCCCACTGAGAATGAAACAAAACATTGCACACATACTGTTGCCTGGCAACCTTGAGAGTGTGCTGAGACCCAACACTTCAAATATGCTACAGCAATGGCACAGAATAAAATACACACACTGTACTGCACAATACAGAAAAAGGTCAGCTACAACATTCAGGGTTTCTCCACATCCCTTTCCACTCACCAATTTATCTGATTAAAACAAGGTCACCAGAGCCTTGGGCACTTTCATAACCTTAAAGATGCCATATAAATGCAAGCTGTTGTTCAAGACCATCACTTATTTTCATGATTAACTTATTTTATTTCTCCTAAAATCTCCTCTTCAGGGGAGACAGGCAAAATCCCAAGGTGCATACAGGCAGAACACAAATAAATACACCTGGGAATTTTTAGCAACTTGATAAACTAATTCTAGGATACCCAAAAACATGATTTAAAATCTCAATAAACAGTGGACGTTATTAATACTGGTTTATAAAAGTAACCTGAAATGCCAGGTGCTGATTATTCCCCATATCAAGGGAGGCAATGGCCTAGTGGTATTGTCACTGGACTGTTAACCCAGAGACTGGGTAATGTTCTGGGAACCCAGGTTTGAATCCCGCCACGGCAGATGGTGGAATTTGAATTCAATAAATATCTGTACCTAGGAGTCTAACGATGACTACAAATCCATTGTGGATTGTCAGAAAAACCCATCTGGTTCATTAAAGTCTTTTAGGGAAGGAAATCTGCTGTCTTACGCTGTCTGGCCTAGATGTGACTCCAGACCCACAGCAATGATTGTTGACTCAACTGCCCTCTGGGCAATTAGGGATAGGCTGCCTGACCAGCAATGCCCTCATCCTGTGAATGAATAAAGGATATTCAAAAAAAACTGTGTGCTCAAATTGGGAGGGGGCGGGGGGGGGCAAGGGGAGAATACATTAATCTTACTTCTGCTTTCAAGTCATGTAGGACATGATCCAGTCATATTCCACATAGAGGGTGAGCTGGTTCTGAAGGGCCAGAGACTCTCATCTGTTTTCTTCAGCTGTCAAACAATTTGAAGTAAGCGGTTAGCTGATATCTTAGTTTTAACTTTCCACTACACTATCACAGCAGCTTACTCATTATACTCAGTCCAAGAACTTCAGTGGGAGGTGATTTAAGCAACATGCAATCACTTGTGTTTCTATTAACTCAATTTGAAAGTAATTTAGTATATTAAATTGGAACTCAAGGAAAATGTAGAACCAACTGTTAGCCTATAATAGTACAACTGGGACTTTTAGTTTGCAAGTTGTATTTCCTGCATGGAGTAAACTAATGCTCATGTGAATGTTATCTGTTAATAAAATTAGACTGGAGACATGTGGGTTTGAGCGACCTGTGTATTTCTTCCTAATTGCTGATCTGAATCCAGAAGAAAAATAGATACCAGCACAAAATAAAATGCATAAACCAGAATGCCCATCTGACACAAGCTCTAATAAAATGCTAACATTCAGAAACATTCAAAAAAAACCACATAGGAAGCTGGACTTCTCCCCCAGTCCCCTGCACTTCCTGAAGTGTCTCCCTTTCTCATAAGAGTTTAGCTACATACATAAAATCACATTATTGCACAGTGCTATGAATTTACACTTTTGCAATGTAAACCAAATTGAGGAGAGAGGTTCAAATAGTCAAAATGCAATCCCTCTCCAGCACCAAAGGAGCTAAAAGGTCATGTGATGTTCCCAAACTATTAAGTGTTATTTAAATATATATTCAAATCTGACTATTACATGCACACAGCCTTGTGGTTATTTGTTTAAATTTGTTTGTTCAACTAGACCTACAAAAAGGTATCAGGTATGACAACTACACCAGATGATGTATTTTAGGTTATAAGTTCAGTCAGTAAGCAAATTGTAGCAAACACCTTACAAGTTCAAGTGTAGGTATCAAAAATGTATATATTAGAAGTCTCTAAATGATTCGGCTACACTATATGCATGGAGTGATGCTTACACCAATGTAAGCAATTTTACAATTTGCCTACAGGCTATCTCTGACTTTAACTCGCTACAAGTCTACCTCAAGGTGACAGGGTTAGAAAGCACAATAGAACAGGCAAAGCATGTAAATGTTAACCTATATTTGCCACCAGTCCAAATTATGTACTTTGTTAGATAATATCTATTCCACATCTGTGAAGATCACCTTCAACAACTTCCCTCCCCTCACCATCACCTGCTTGTTTCACAGTACTGCTCCACAAACCACTTGTGAATGTATCACTACAGGGCAGCATTCTGTAGTTCTGGTAGTTTTTTTTCTAATCAATTATCCAGTAAAACATTAGCAAGATTCACTCCTAATCTGCACTGGCACATCTTCAAATTTCTCTATCCTCATCTATCCCTATTGCCGTAACCTCCTTCCAGCCCTACAAACCTTAAATCTCTGCAATCCTCCAATTCTGGCCTCTTGGCCATTCCTGATTTTAAATCATCCACCATTCGGTGCTGTGCTCTCAGTCACCTAGACTTGAAGCCTCTTCAGCTCTCTCTCTCTATTTCTGTAAAGACGCTCTTTAAAATTAACTCTTTGGCTTTTGCCACCTGTCCTAATATTCCATCTTGCATCTCAGTGTCAAATTTTGTCTGATATTTCTGTGAAGCATCTTAGCAGTTTTAATATGGTTAAAAATCCTAAGTCCAAGTTATTGTTTCGTTGAGGGGGCAATGACATTGCTACTTTTGGAGACCAGTTCCCTACACTACATTAACCCTCTGATGATTTTTCAATGACAAAAGATAGATCAAATCATTCTGGTTACCCAACACTTTAAATAAAACCCATTAATTATGAAACAGAATTCATTAATGTAAACTAATTTAGCTGTGGAGCCAGTATAAAGAGAGCTGCCTGAATTAATCCTGTATACCTGCAGAAGCTGACTGCATTCAAACATGCAAAGCATAAACTTTAAAAAAACAGCAGCACTTTTGAAAGTCTTAAAAAAGATTGGCTAGCTTAGAAACAGCTATGGATTTGCACATCCACTCCTGCCTGAAACGCAGGAGTGCAATTACCTGTGCAATTTGCAAGACAAAAGCTGACTTGCCAGAAAGAAGCAGATGATGTATCTTTACTAACTTGGCATACTCTGCAAGGAGTACGGAATGAGAATTTGGAAGTCACCTCCAGGACTGTTTCATAACATTTACACACCTCTATTGATAAGATAAACATTCCTGCCTTGTCAAAGTATATAAAAAAAAACTTTAGAAACTCAATCACCCAGTAACAGTTTATTTTAAAGTGACATTTAAAGGAAAATAAAAGCTCAATTTTAGATTAAACGTGCTTCCTAGAATTACAATACAACACAACACAGAGTTAAGAGCTGTTTAAGTCAAGCCTAACTCCATTTAAAGGCACCAATTAAACAATTTCCTTAAAAAGATAAAACAATTTAACCCATTCTCTGACTACAGCTAACCGGAGGGCTCTTGTGGTGCTGTGGTAGTATCCCTACCTTTGAGGCAGGAGGCCATGGTTCAAATTCCACCTGCTCTAGAGGTGTGTAATAACAACCCTGAACAGGGTGATTAGAAAGTAGTTACCATAGGGGAAAAAAAACTAACCTCACCAGAAACAGGGAAGAAATCACCACCTCTAACGCATAAACAAACCATACAGCCATTTAGAAAGAATGGTGGAAGCTTCAGTAGTTGGGAAGGAATGTTTAAAAACAATCTGCATTGAAACATTTTAAAATTTCCCTTGAATAGACAGATTCACTTTCAGTTTTACTTTAATACCAACAGATTTGAGCAAAATTGACACTGTTTACAATAACATTTTATCTAAAATATACACATGTATGACCAAAACAAAATTCAGACAGGGTCCTTTTCAATAGTGACATTTACAGCAAAACTCTGACAAGGCAGTTTTATTTTTTAATGTAATAAAGTTTTTAATGCCAGAAAGAAACATTTGGCTAATATTATTACAAAGTATAAACAATGCCAACAGTCTCTTTTCTAAAAGGACACACATTACTCACTGGCAAAGTTGGATAGCTAGGTCTATTTTCCCCAAAACCTCCTTCAACGTCCCTGTTAACCGAATATAAAATGAGACTCTCATTAATTAATTCACTCCAAAAACAACTTCACTTTAAAAAAATCCTGACGCATCTAGCTTTGAACACTGTCTCTTATCCAGACATTAGTATTCACAAGAATCCATGTCTGGCTGTAACCACAAGAACTGGACCTTTCCTAACATAAGTTTTTTTTAAAAAGCACATCTTTGTTCAATGCACCTGCAAGAAAAACTAGAACCTTAGTCTTGGACCAACAAGGTATTTAAATAGCATATCACATCTCCACTGACGTGACAAAAAGGTACAAATATACTGAGCATCTTTCCTTTTTACGAACGGTGCATTTTTTTTCTCGCCCTGTTTCTCTGCTGCTGCTCTCTACTTCATTGTCCCCTCACTCTCTCCGTCTCTCCAGTCCCCTCCGCTGCTGTTTATTTACCTGCAATGCTGCCTCTCTGTGTTACAGGTGTGAATGTGTGTGGCTTCTCCCAGGGCCCGGGGCTGTAGCAGCTCACTCACTCCTTTCTCTCTCTCTCTCTCTCTCTGCCCGTTTGGCTCAAGCTACCAGAACGCGGAGACGCGCCTTGCAGCCTCTGCGCGCCCCCGCTCCTTCCCCTACACACGCACAGCTATTGTTTGGTCCAATGTCCCCACTCCGGTGCACAGAAAGAGCCCAAAAACCCTGCAGTGCTATTAACACGTGAACAACAACAACAACAACTAAAAAACCTAAGCACAAATCGGGGTAGTTGCTGCTGATCTTCACCAGGAAGGGAGTTGATTTTGTTTGTTTATTTATTTGCACCTCCTCATTCGGTTCCCCCAGGGAATCTAAGACCATTGAAATGGTAGTGGAGGTTTCTGCCTCTCTCCCTCCAACCCCCAAAGAATTGCAGCAACAGCCCTTCATTAATGGGAGATTAATATCCGCCAGAATCTTTTCAGATTCAGCAATGTAATATAATTTACATCTTTCTCACCTCTTCATCCATGCAATAAATCCTGATTTCTAACAAGTTACATTCCTGATTGTATTTAGATCTTCACAGGCATGATTCTCCCTTCCCACAGCCCCTTGTCTAGATGTAGACCCGGGGAAAGAGGATACCGAGATTTAAAACCAGTAAACACGACACAAATTTTGCAATACCATTTGAGCTGTACCTATTTTGCTTTTAAAATACCTTGCCTTAAAATAGGTCACATTTTGAAACCAGGGAGAGTGTCAGCATGCTCCTTGCTGAGAGGTCTGTTTCACAGCTCCAGAATGTTGTTTTCCTTTCCAGGTCGAAAACTCACTTTGCAATGATTCCCCTCACAACTAAGTTCCCGTTTTCCATTCAGTTGCTACAGAATGCTTAAGAAGATCCTGGCTGCAACACAGCAGTGAAACGTGCACCCCCTACTGGCTGGTTCCATAGTGTCAAAGCCCCACCTGCAATTCACCTCTGTTGGCGAATCAGAGAATCAAACAGCTCCAATGGACGTCATTCAACCCACTCTTGAAAGAGCTACCCAATCATTTCCACTCCTCTTTCCCCATAGCCTTGCAATTTATTCCTTCTCTAGGATATCCTTGGCTGAACTTCTAAAGGATCTGGACAAAACACTGGAAATCTGAAGTAAAAAGGCAGAAAATGCTGCAAATAGTCAGCAGTTTAGACAGCCTCCTTAACGTTTCAGTTTCATCAGAATGGAGTTCATCAGAATGGAGTTCAGCTGAGCATTTTAAGTGATTTCATGCCTATGAGAGGCATAGATAGAGCGGATAGCCAGAGACTTTTTTCCAGGGCAGAAATGGCTATCATGAGGGGGCATAATTTTAAGGTGATTGGAGGAAGGTATAGGGGAGATGTCAGAGGCAGGTTCTTTACACAGAGTGGTGGGTGTGTGCAATGCACTGCCAGCAGTGGTAATAGAGTCAGATACATTAGGGACATTTAAGTGACTGTTGGATAGGCACATGGATGATAGTAAAACGAAGGGTACGCAGGTTAGTTTGATCTTGGAGTAGGATAATAGGTCGGCACAACATTGTGGGCCGAAGGGGCCTGTACTGTTCTATGTTCTATGATTTCTCTCTTTTACTTCAAAAAGTACTTTACTGGTTGTAGAGCACTTTGGGATGCCCTGGAGATTTTGAAAGACGCTATATAAACATCTGTTTGTCCTTTATTACATATCTAAGTTTCTTTGGAAAGTTACTTTCAAATCTTCTCCTACTGGCACTTCAAATCATTGGAACTCACTGTGTAAAAACATTACCTCTGCTTCTGGTTCTTTTGCCAATTATTGTAAATTGTGCCCTTTGGTGACTGAACCTCCTTCCACTAGAAACAATTCCTTCCTTTTGCTGCATCGAAACAGACCAAAAACAAAGGAGGGGCTAAAGTTGGGAGCAATACACTTTTTAAAAATATGTTTGCTCCTGAATACTACCAATGTGTGACGCATTTTGCTTTTGGCTCAGCTATCAATTTTCTTCTTCATTAGTTAGGCCTTAATACTGATCCCCTTTGTAATTTTCTCTTGTTATGCAAAAAAAGGTGTTCCTAGCCAATCAAACTGCGGAAGAAAACAAAATCTTGGAGCGACAACCAGCATGACAATCTCAACGCCTAGATTAAGGTTGTAAAAACTTTTCAATATCAATGCTGCTGCAAATGTGTGAACGCTAATGTGATTCTATGAATCAGGCAGAAAGCTTGCTTACCAAAACCAACAACTGTACTTACAGCAGTGCTGTAGAGATTGTGGAGTTTTGCGAACCTTTCAACTTAAGTTTGTATCTCACTTGCTCTCCCTGCTGCATTTGCTTATCAATTCTCTTGTGTCATCATTTTTCTGCTGTCATGCTCCCATACTCCTAAGACTCCTCCACTTTCTAATACGCCTTCTCTAAAGAAGACTCTGTTCTCTCCTTCAGGTCATGTTACTTTCCTTTATTCCTTTATCAAGTTCCAAAGTTCCTGGCAGTGAAACAGACATTTTTTTTTAGGAAATGATGACCTTGCAAGACCACAAAGTCACCCTACCCCCACCTACTTCTTCAACACATTGATCTCACACTATTAATGTAAAATCAGGAATGTGGTTTAATGTTGATTATTTTTTAAAAGAATATACCCACGGCATCAGAAAGATTTTAAAAAATGGCACAGAAGGAAATCTTTCAGCTCATTATACTGACAAAAAAAAATTCCAGTCCAATTCCATATTCTAGGCTCCATCTGTAGCCTTGTAGGTGCATATCCAAGTGTATTTTATAAATGCAATGAGAGTTTCTGCACCTAAGAACATTTCAGGCAGTGAATTCCAGTCTCCCATCATTCTCTAGGTAAGACCTAAGGAGCTCCACCATGATCAATATTTATCCCTTCAACAATATTGGTTAATTGAATAGATTTATAGTCGGTTAATAAATAGATTTTATAATCATTATTCTATTAGGGTCATGAGTTTTGAAATAGGTAAGATGCTCAACATTGAAGTCAAAGGTCTTTTTAAGACTACTCTTTAGTAAACATGAACTATTTACACTTTTACACTTAGTATCAGGACTGCAGTATGAAATTTCCCTTCAGAGCCTTGCCATCATGTGAGCTCTTACATCACTATTGGCATAGTTTACTGTTGACATATTTAAGTGTTAACCCTTAACACTGCATCTCTCCCCATTTTGCTTTATCAAATATATTATGTTGCTGACAGCAGGGAGCATACTGTGCACAAATTGGCTGCTGAGTTTCCTACATTACAACAATTCAATTACAACAGTTCATAAAGTGCTTAATTGGCTGCAAAGTCTTTTGGAGTATTCTGAGGTTATGAAAAGCCAACTCAAAATGTAACTCCTTCCTTCTCCATATTAGATAGTGCTGCTGAGCCTATTTAGGAGGGGTTATAATCATAACAGAATTTTCATCTCATTGTATAAATGTCTGGACATTTGGTTTACTGGTATAGTCAGGGTTAAGTGATTGCCTTTGACCAAATGTTTTAAACAATATATTTGTAATTTCTCTTTTATTACAGTCTTAAGAAAGAACAGCCACTGCATTGCTGATTAAAACAGCAGTACATTGGTCAGTTTACTGTTATTATGTTTTCAAAAAAAGAACAACCACTGTACTGCTGATTAAAATGGTGAACCAGCAGCCATCAATAATACGTAAAAACCTTGCTGAATCTGAAGAACTGTCAACTATTTGTATGAGTGATAACTGCAGCATTTGGAGATGGAAGTATAAAAGGAAATAGTCTTAGTTTCTGCACAGGTTATGTAAATATGATCAATGAACCAAAGAAAACATTACATTGCTGCAGTACAACGCAGGAGATACTTCAGCACAATGTAAGCCATCATTTGCTCAGAAGCAACTATAATGTATTCAATTATGGAAACTCAAGCTCACATTTCTGTTGCACTATTGAGTATTATTATGTTCCAGGCTGATAATGGGGATCACATGTGAGATTGGATTGTATCTCGCCATTTTCTCTGGACAAGCTTTCAACTTGCACGTAGAGGCTACACATTTGAAAATTAGATGGATAGACAGATAAACTTGCAGTAATGGAGAACTTTTTACAGGCCATTCCAAAGCACTTTATAGTCACTGAAGTACTTCTGAAAAGTAGTCGTTGTTGTCATGTGGAAAATGCTGGACCCTATTTGCACAAAGTGAGCTTCCACAAACAGCAGTATATTAATGTTCAGATAACCTGATGCAGTGATGCTGGCCAGGGCACCATGGGGAACTTCCTTGTCGATTATCCAAATAGTGGCTGTGAGCTCACTTATATCCACCTGAAAGTGCAACCAACACCGAGGTTTAATGCCTTCTCTGACAGTGCGGCACACCCTCGGTACTGCACGCCAGATGTGCCTCATATTTTGTGTTTGAACTCTGGAGATAAATGAATAGATAGACTTTGACATTGAATTCCAAGAATTTTATGTATCAGCTATTACCGTAGTACCTTGGGACAATAATTATAAAAAGTATAAGTTATTATAATGTATTTGTTAGATATCTGGCTGTGTAAATAAATAAAGATAATAATACGCGAAGGAGAATTATTCTATAACAATTTTGATTAATTAGATAGTGTGGTCCAGATATACTAGGTTCAATAAGGCTCTATCAGAAAAAAAACAGTCCTTAGGCATTAATGCTCTATTTTAAACTAAAATTATTGAAATTACATGCAAAGTCGATCAATGCAACAAGTCAACTTTCAATAAAGCTTGTAGACAGAACGAGAAAGAAAATAAGTTCATCAACAAAAATCAGCTGTTACAATAAGGGTGTATAGCTTTCCAACTGTAAGTGACTTAAAATCACTAAAGTGATTTAACAGACGATACTGAATTATTTAGTAGATTAATGGGTATATACTAGGAACATAGGAATAGGTGTAGGCCGTTCAGCCCCTGGAGCCTGTTCCAGCATTCAATGAGATCTTGGCTGATCTGTGGCCTAGTTCCATATACTTGTCTTTGGCCCATATCTCTTATTAACATTGCTTAAAAAAAATCTATTTCAGATTTAAAATTAACAACTAATCTAGCATCCATTAGTCAGGTTCATAGTAAATTGACTTTTTTTTTGCTCCAAAT